CGATTCGTCGGCTTTATTGTCCACAGTTAATGTCATACATAGTAATTTTTATATAAATTTCTCCGTGTAGTTAAGATTATAAACTATAAAAAACTAAATTTAAATCTATTAAATTGCCCAAGGCTGCAAACTGCAGCTGGATCTAGAAATAGAAAATGGATTCACCAAGATGTTATCAACGAAGCGCTATAAATCTACTCTTAATTGCCAGCGATCTCGTAAACTGCGGATTAATTTATATCCATCCATATATTGCATGATGTAACAATAGCTCTAAGTTTTCTTACTTTCTTTTTGCAGGGATCGGCGTGAAGTAGAGGTACGCGAATTGGAGAAGGCCAAAATGGACCGGGAGAGACTCGAAAAGCAGCGGGCCGAGCAGGCGGTTCACAAGCACTTCGAGGAGTCCTTTAGATTGGCGCAACAAAAGGTTAGTGCTCGAACTGTACTGTTCATTTTTGACCTCTGTAAAGTTGGCAGTTCTGTGCTTTTTGAGCCTTAAGGATAATCGTTAGAACTCGTGAGGGAGGGAGGGGGGATATACAGGACTCGCAACAGAACTACTGATTACCGAGAAAAATTCTTAGCCCAGTGGGACTTAGAAATTTTTCGGGTCCGTATAATTTTAACCATCGAAAACTTTTTTATTTTGCCTCGGAGCACTTCGAGTATTAATAATTATCGCTAGAACTCCTCGGGGGGCATCCAGAACTCTAATTATTTTTTTCAATTTAAAAAAATGGGAAACCAAATTTACAGAGGTTCGTTTGTGTCCGATGCGACACTTTTTACACTATACAATAAGTAAACTACGACTCGTTGTCACTGCACGTGGTCACTGCACATCCATTGTAAAAATAAATAACGATGATCCACACAAATTTCAACGGAACGACGAACGATGATGACACTTCACTCACTATCGTTGGTTATTCACGCGAAATTTTGACACAAAAGGTATCCATCCTGTTTAATGTCCGTTAATTATTACATCTTCTCTTATTTCCGAAATGGAGCACCCGTTCTCTTTCTCCCGAGTCTAACGAGTTAATAACGAGCAGGCTCGAGTTTCCTATTTAGGAGCGTGCTTTTTGTTTCGCGACGAGATCGTTACTGCGCTGTTCTCACAGGCGGTTCTAAAAAGTTAACAAGAAAATGAACAGCTGTTCTGCTTCGAAAAAGGCCAGTGGATTACTGACGTAGGTAGCACTTCTCGGCATTCAGCAGGCGTACCTAACGTATTCTATAGACAAAAAATGTTACTCGCAGTAGATTTTTTAAATCCAGCCAATAGCGATGGAATAGAACGGTTTTCGGAACCTGCTGTTCTTTGTCCCCCACCCTGTATTTTGCAATGGACCAGTAATTTTCTTGCAATACGTTGAAATGGACACTAGTGAATACTTTAAATAAACGGATAACAAAAGAAAAGGTAGAAGGGATTTTGTTCTTGATTCTCTTTACCTTATAGGAAAGAATGGGACAGTTCCGGAACACTACTTTGCTATTGGCTGGATTTAGAACTTTTACTGCGAGTAACATTCTTTGTTAAAATCCAAGTTAAAACCCAAGAACCTTCTCCTTATGGAAAATTCCATTTCAAGTTTTTTCGGTTTTCTAAAACTTTCCGTTCATATTTCACGTAAAAGTACTGCCAATTTCGTAAATTTTGACTCCAAAATTTATATCGCAACGACTGCACGTTATTTACACGTGATTGCAGTTATGGCATATGACGCTACCAAACAAAAAATGGCTAAAAAAACTACAATATTTCTGTAGCACTATTCTGTATTGATTTGTGATATTTTTTATACTCCGACATCCGCTGTGATTCTTTTATATCGCAATTTTTATTGCATTCCACAAGCCTTCTACGCACTCGTATTCGCATTGATAACTGCGATAACGCGTTATCAGACCAATATTCGTCGCTCACATACATGATAGAACGTTGTATGATTTGCTTTGAGAAATCTTCGAGCTCAAGTCGAGGACGAGTTCGCACCTTCGTAAGTTCTTTGTTCTTAATTCTCGCGAAGTTCGTTGTTTAATTAGCGGAATTGTGAATTGGTGTATCATATACGAGTGCAAGAAAGACAATCTAATGAATAGACTTTAAAATGATTTTTATGAAACAAATCGTGGTGTGAAAGTGAATTAAAGATAGACGATGTCTTGGCCATTTTGCAAGAAAGATTGTCGCTGTTCTCTTTTACAAATTTGGTGCTGCAATTATCACCGTCATTTTAAAATCCGTCAGGTACAGTTAATCAAAACTTCATGTTTTCGAAAATTCTCGTCGATTTTAGTATTACAAATTTTATTACTTGAGAAAATTCCACATTTTTATCGAATAAATCCTTCTAAAATTTTAGAATAAATTTTATATTTAACCTTGAGAGAGCAAAGTATCTTAATGGACTTATTTTGCATCATTAATTTAAAAAACTAAATGCATATTTTATTATAACTTTACATATGTAATCTCAGGTCATTAATCTGTTTTCTTTAAAATAAAATTTTATAAGAAAGTGCTTCAAGCTTTGTTCACTTAAATGAAGAGCAAGATAAGGTTCATTCTAAAGTGTTTTTCTTGAACGTAGTCCATGTATTCATGATATCACGATATCTGCATCAAGGTTGGCGGATAGGTTGTGGCGCAGTCCATCGGTGCATTGTTTGATAAGTGAGACGGGTGCGATTAACGCACTTGCGAACGCACAATAGCAGGTTCATTTCGTACGTGGCCCCGCGATCGACCTTGGCACTTTGCCACAAGCCACCGTCAGCGGGTCGTGACGCGCATTTAGCACATCCGAGATTGACCAACGATTTCAGTGAAAAAAACGCGCGGGATAATCATGCGAAGAGAACGTGAGCGTGAAATTTCGCGAATGAGAACGGGAACACCTCGTTTTCAAACTTCTTGTGGTTATTGCCCGCATATTAAAGATTAAAGATATCGAATTTTATGAATTTGAAATGTTAAAAGAATTCGAAGAATACGTCTGTATTTAAAGGATTAATATATAATAGTAATATAACACATAACACGACCGAGAAACTGCATTTCGGAACCATTAGAAAACCGTTAAAAAATTCAAAGATAGCTTAAGGTGCACGCAAGAGAAATGGAACAGAATAGTGAAAGCAATAATGTGAACGAAAAGATTTCCAACGTTTACTCTTAAACGAAAAGTGCCATTTAGCCTCTTGTTTATTTTTTATTCTATAATTGACTTGGGAAAGACTAAAGATATGTTAATTGTCCATTATATAATTACAAAGTATTAATTATGCAGTACAAAGTATTAATTATGCTGATAATGTAACATATACATTCGTTGCACTACAAATACGTGTCGACGATGCAGTATATATTAATTAGGTTAAGAATTTTATTTTCTCATTCCTTCTTCGATCTTATTCACAAAGAATTGTACCGCAAATTATCCTTTCCACGTACATATCTTATGTAGCATCGTTTGAAAAACATATAATTCTACAGTCAGCGGGTATAAATCTTACGGTAAATTTCGCAATTACTGTTATTAACAGGGTAATTAATTTCACCGCACGGAAATACGCTTTTATCGAACTTTGCGAATGACAAACGGACGCGGTGTTCTGACAGCGGACGTGGAAAAAGGAGGTCACCGCCGATAGTGATATGGGAAGGAGTTACGCGCTAAGTTACAGCCGTGTCGATCGTCGTCGTTGTCGATCCCGAAACTTTCGCGCTATTTGTCATCGGCAAACCGGTTCGACTCGCCTCTTTCTCCTCCTCCTTCCGCACCTTTATATATATATATATATAATATATATATCTATTTTTTTTTACTATTCCCGGCACGAACGCACGTATGCATACATACGCGTTATACATACGCGTGCGAACGTTCCGTGAGTATCATTTGCAATGCAAAACTCGGTACGAAGGTCATTAATTATGTACTCCAGCGGTACGCAACAATGAAGTTTGCCGGGGCGCGCACTTGGTGCAGACTATGTTCGTAGATTTTCTTCGCTACATTTTCGTAAAGAAAAATTGCTTTTAAGAGAACACAAACAAGACTCAGCACACTAAATCTTGCGACATAGCGTAAATGCTTGAAAAAGCACCGCGCGTTAGATTGTAAAATTCTCGATAGGTGAAAAAATCTTTCTTGAATATAACGAAAATAACTTTTAACAAAACGGAGAGGAAAACGGTAAAAAAATTAAAAGTTTACAGAAAAAGGAGAATGCTATTTTTTGTTGGTTGTGATTTTAAAAGCATCTTAAAAGAAAGTGGCTAAAATATAGTCTACGATGGTACAAAGACACTTTTAAACTTTTTAGTGAAAGAAAAGATAATTATAAGGAATATTTCGTTGAAATATGCAATGATGTTCCAATAGAATTGTAAAATGCAAATATGTGATAGTGAATATTTCAAAATAATTGAGTTCAATTATAATATCTATTTTCGTTTATAATAATAATGGAAATATAATTTCGTTATTTGATTAAATATTCATATTTCGGATAAACTGACTTTTATAAGCTTAATTGATATTAGTTAATTAATGATTTACTTATAATACTTGTTAATTTATAAGAATGTTTGATCAAATTATAATTTCCAGGAAAATTTTTTAATCTGCTTACAACATTTTAGAATAGATTGAAATATAAGACACTTGTAATATTTCAAGCCTAACAAGCTTCAGAGTACACGTATCTTATAAAGTTCAACGCCTATAACTAGCAAACTTTATGGACATTCCGGTGATATAGCTGTAATTTATATACAATCATCACACGCTTAAAGCTTATATTTTTGTTCAAAATCGAAATCTGAGACTTCTACTTTCGACACTTCCGCCTCCTCTCTCCAGACATTTGTCGCTTACGTAAAGTTATGGTATGTTCCGAAAGAGAAACGAGAAGCATAAATTTTCGCTATGCAACGTAAGCATAAACCATGCAACGTAGCGCATCCGCAATCGTCTTCCTTTAGGTACGTGTTGTAGCTGCACTCGGAATTTCGTCACGTTCCCTTGGCTTCGCCGTTAGCGTTCATTCGCCGTGAATTCGCTCGGTACCCACGCCTTCTAATCTCGTGCGAAGTTAATTACCGCATCGTCCACATAGCTGCGTGTACATCTGTATGCGTGTGTGTGTGTGTGTGTGTGAAAACACTCCGGTCTTCATCTTGACGCATCGTACGCGCACATAAATACCGCGTCTGTCTCTTTCTCCTTCTTACACTCGCGTACGTGCATGTGCATGTGCATTCGCCCGTTCCGCGTGTGTCATGCACACGTGCACGCGACCGACCAGTCTGGCGGTACAGTTATCCGTAATATACACGAAAGCAAGTCGCGCGCTCTCGTGTAAGCAGGTCACACACATCGTCCGTACATATGTACACGTATATAATGG